TTCCTCGTTTAGCCAGGGCCTTACAACGTGTTCGTCATGTTATTCACGTACGATCTGCACTCATCCATGCAACAAGTAAGCATATCATCTGGTCAAGGTGAGGGTCATCAAAGGAAAAGTCTACTATCTTTAGCGTGGGTGGTTCTATCATCTACTAGGAAAGCGCCACTCTTCCAATACTAAGACATTCGCCCTTTTCCCCCTCTCTCAATCATGCTCAATTTAAGGGTATTTCAATATGAAGCTACATGGGTTAGATAGAAATCAAACCAAGAGCAAACTTGATGGGGATCAAACGAATGCCCTCTCGCTTTGCAAACGGCGCCTTCACCAACTAACCGCAATTACTCGTGTAATCAATATGAACTGCATGCAGCTTGACTCGCCGGCGCGGCGATAATTAAGGAAACCAAGTTCACTGGCGTTGCAATGCTCTTATCAATACTTTCTACTGCTTTTGTAGGGAATTGATTCACGTACGATAGTCACTTGTGGTTCTCTCCTGTGCTTGGAGGTTTTTTTCCGGTTCCCTCCCTCTACAAAATTCAAAACTTCTAAATTCCATATGCATTCAGCCAATCATAAAACATGAGCCACGTTTATTGAACGCAGACTGGTCTTTTAGCTGTTGCCTTTGCTAATCGAGGCCGATTTTTTGATTTCTTTATTGTCATTACCTTTCCAAAGCTAGCAGCATTGACAGGAGTAAGATTGTTCTTTTCACAAAARTCCAGATAATGCGAGTACAAAGCACTCCTAGGTAAACTGACGCCATCCGCTACCTCGTAGTTCTCATTCAACCTAAAATACAAGCCATCACTAACATAAGTGTCGTTTTTTTCACTATCTAAGCTAATGCCTCACATCTTATTCGCAAAGCTTTATTGAAAAACTCCTTTAGAGGCATGGGCTTCATGTTTAATTAAGTATTATAGTGAAAATATATTTTTGGGAATTCGGCGATGATTTTTTTTAAATGATAAAACTTTTTGGCGTAAATTTCAAAATCTGGGGCTTTTGGAAAATGCTTGTTTTTTTTTTGTTTTTTTTTGACGTTTGTCAATGAATTAATGGCAGAAATATCCCAATAACCGTGAGAAAGATTACACACGTCCATCAGAAACTCAAATTTGTCATCAAAAAGTCAAAAACTGATTAGCAGTGTGGTTGTGGAATTCTAGTTTAGATTTATGGAATAAAGTGACCATAGGATTTCTTGATGCCGTGAGAAACAACAACTCAATATTCAATCAAATAGCTTAAATAATGTTGATCGAATTTTCAAACAATATTTTCACTATTGTGAAGCTGTGGAAACTTTGTCGGTTCTCCCTTCGCAAAACCTAACAAGCTAGATTCCAATTCAATCTGTGAGTTATCTGTGCACTGACTTTGATCAGCCTAGAGGTTGTTTCAAGGGTCGAATCCAATTTGGTTGTAAAGGAGTTTTAGCTTTAAGTAATGCGATCGTAAACAAACRGCCTTATTTTCCCAGAATAATCATTCTGAATTTATAAACAGATTAAAAAATTGAATAATAAAAAATACCTACCATTGGATAGTCAACGGAGATTGGAGCTTGCTATGGGACATGTAAGATCCGCTAGTTTGATACATGTGTTGGCCTGAAGAGGAGAGAAGAACAACAAACAAATGAATGGATACGTTGAACTTGCCTTGAAATTTATAGCCATCCCAAGGCATTGACAGACGAACAAAAGTACATCGTTAAACTCGCAAAACATAAAGTGGCCACCAGAAGCTAATGCAATTTAGAACCAAACCTCTTTAGTTACTATTATTAGCTAAGACATTGTACTAGAACAAACGCTCCATCATAGATACTACGTGTTGGGTAACTTGATTTATCTTTTTAAAAAAAGAATTTTCAAAAGCCAATTCCTTTTTATTGACCATCATTAGCTGAGACATTTCACAAGAACAAACGTCCTATCATAAATGCTACGTGTTAGACAACTTAATTTATCTTGAAAAAAAGGTGAATTCAATGGCAAATTCTTCTTGGGAATCAAGGAAGTCATCGAGAAATGATTGTTAATTTGTTCTCATTAGTTTTAGGATTTTTTGTACGCCTAGCCAGACTTCCGTTTTGAATTAAATTTCGACACGTTTTATTCTATACTTGTACACTGGCATTACGTTGTCCTAGCGTTTCGTGAAAATGCTGAACACTATATCCTTCGTGACGCGAAAGGCTTTTATGTCGAACTCTTAAGAGATACGCGAATAACACGATATTTTCTTTCAATGGGTGATGTCAAAACTCGACTTTTTAAAAGCTTACAAAAAAGACCTTGATACAAATGTCACTCAATGTCAAACTTGCGAATAGATCTGCTTCACTATTGATGCTATTTAACCGCTCCAGCTATCAAAAACAATGGTTGATTATACCAGTTGAATAAAGTTCGGTTTGTAGTCTCTTAAAGTTACGATATACATCGACGCTAACACTTCAAAACTACTCACCCATTGAAAACTTTTAACACGACCACTACGAATCGTTTTCTGTCGGTTGAAAAAAATCTCTTCCTGAAATTTTTACCGCCTTTTTGACATGAAATATCTTTGAAAGGCAAAGTACTTTTTGGCGAGGTGTATCCGTTTGTGGTAGAAGTGACACATGCTTGACTTTAAATTTTGAAAGTTTTCGATTGTTTTAGGTTGGACGCGCTTGAGCAAGCACCAATCATCTTCCTGCTATCTAATTAACGGCACGCGCTAGCTTTTGCATCAAGTGCGTTGGCAGATTTACATGTCACGGACGCTCACTGCACGACTTCTAAGAGTTTTGTTTAACAGACCACGAAAAAAAATACTATTTTTCAACTTAAAAAGATTTAAAATCAAAAACTTACACGAAAAATTCGGTGTTATATTGTTCAAAAACTAGTACAAGAAAAGCCAGTTATATTGACCTAGATGATGACCACAGGGTTCAGAAACGTTTGGTTTTATAAATCTTCGAAGTTTTATAAGAAAAACAAATTAGAAAAACTGAAGAAGAAGGAAAAAAACGATTAAGATCTCATTAAGAATATATTTGTATAGCTCTTCTAAGTTTTTAAATTCGTGGCTCAACCAAATTAAATTTCTTTTAAAGTTAACAAAAAACATTTTAGCCGCCCAAACTTCGTGAATGGGCAGATTTTTAAAATCAAGCATTTTATAATTCGTTAAGTTCTATGAATGTCTTGTGGTTTTCTTTTGAAGTTTCGTTCATAAATGATTGACCATTCGAAGACCTTAGAAATATCCATGGTATCCAATAAAATATTAGTAACAGAGTAATTAAAGTCAATGAAAAATTTACAAATCAATTCAATATAGATGAATAAATAAATGTGTCACAATTCTAGGATTCGTTTTTATCGCTGGAATTTTAACCAAGAATTTCTTTTTGAAAATTATTTTGGAGGTATATATATATATATATATGTGTGTGTGTATATATATGCATGTCAGGTCTCTGAACTCCTCGCAACTCTGAAAGCAAGCCTACACGTTATACAGAAACTTCAAATTAGTTCTTAAAGTTTGGTTAACATTTCTTGACGCTTGAAGTGAGTGACCTACCATTAAGGAGTCCTTCAATCTCGTGTCTTTTTTTGCCAAATTGTAAACTAAATATGAACATTCCGCCTTTGAGCTTAGCAGGATGCCAAGCTTTCGTACAAGCCTCGCTCCTCATTTATGACATTACCTCCACCTTGTGTTTCATTCAGGATCTTAAATAAGCATTAGAAGAGAGACTCGTAGTTACGACTCGAGAGTCAACAATAAAAGTATTGTTGCACAGCTAGCGTGGCGCTCGACAAGACGCGTGTGTGGATCTTTCTTCTGTATTGTCAGAGAACTTAATTACTCTATGGTCGCTATATACACACTTTTAGAACACGGCACACGTTCACAATTACGCGCCACGTGCCGCTTCTGTTGTGACGTTTGGCTATGATCTCACGTTAGGGAAAATAGCGGCTTAAATGTTCGCCGAGTTTAACGCTTTAACCCTGTCCTCTTGAAAATAAGGTTTTTTGAACTCGGTTTATCGATAGTTATTTAAGAGACTTTTTGCCATTCAAGGGTTGGTTCGTTTCGGAACAAGGCTATGCAATTTACGGCGTTTTAATAAACGACCATTGTTGAATTGTTACAGCTTTTGTAAAGTGCTTAAAAAACAAGTTTGTCTTAATTCAGCCAATCAATTCTCTCCTCTTCTCTCAACTTCAATTTTTTTAAAACGTCAACAGCCCAATAAACTTGAAAAGCTTTAAAAAGTTGTTCAAGAAAACCATGGAAGCAACAAAACGAGCATGAAAAGTTGAAGCATTTGAATTTCGGAATTCTGCCATGTCGCAAGATAATATYGTTCCTTTCGATATTGAGTCAGAGACTTGATTTCTTTTGTCTTTTATTTTAGGAGTGAGTTTTTGGTTAGTTATTTCAATCTTTTGTGGGGCTATTAATTTTAAAAGGGGAATAATTAGGCCTTAGGGAAATGTACAAAATGCAGATAGGCGTATCCTCACACATTGTTTGCACTTCAGTGATATTTCACTATGTTGTTTGGTTAAACACTACTATCGGATACCTAGCGATCATGCAGTTAAATATACAGTCCCTCCGACAATCCAGGTTATCTCTCGAAGTCGTTCTCCTTGGTAATGATAATGGTTCAATCATAGTGGACTTTGGACTATTACCATATTTAAAATGACTATTTGTATGAAGTTAGACTGAGAAGCGTTCGAGGGCATTGTTTCCAGACTCAGTCACTAAGAAAGGCACAGAGAACCCACACGTGTCGATGTAATTTTTAGATACACAATATATAGTCAGAGACTTGGATCGCAAAAGCAAATATACCCAAGGCCATAACCAACACATTCTCTTTGTGAACCTTTTAATTATTCGCTGTGAACTACCCTATCAGGTTTTTCCCATCGTGTCAATAGAATTGGCTTAAAGTGCAAAGCATTTGATAACAATTTTTTTGAAAAGAATTTGACATGATTTCGGCGCGCGCGAATAATTTTCCACTACAGTATTGTGATATTTTTTCTAAGTTCTAAAGACGTTCTATARGAACTCATGACTCTTGCTGAATTGTGAGAGTATCAACTGTCCATTTATCGCTTGTCATGTTGAGAAAATAAATGATCAGAGAATAAGCAAGGCTATAGATGAATAGCTTAACCGAATTTTAAAAATTATAGTTGCACTTCTTTTATCCTTGCTTTTTGGCGGCTTTCTCCTTCCTGTTTGAGTTTGGAATCAAAGTTTTCTCGACTTTTTTCATCTCAAAATGTCAATGTCAGAGCATTGCAATTTATAACAAAACATTTTATATTTTAATTATTTTATGAAAGGTCATTAACATTCTAGACTTCAAGAAGCCCAAGTAATGAGTCAATGCAAATTTTACAATCAATAACAAGATAACTTCGAACACATAAACTCTCCAATAGCCATTTGATTCTAATGTCAATAGTTTTATGGTTGTTTATAAGAGAATTACGAGAAAAATCAAGAGGTTTTTTGGCGGCTAAAGGTGCGAGAAACACTTGCCAGACCTTCCCCTTGGCATAACAAYAGCCATGGCTAAGACGAAATTGTTGGCGACACTGATTTAAAAAAGCATGGGAAATGTATCTGACTGCAAAATCTTATGCTCTTTATGAGAATCGGAATAACGCTGGATTTATTTTAAATTGAATCCAAGTAACACTAGACTAAGTCGTCGATAAACTGCGAAAACGTTGTTAGAAATAAATTAAAATCGCAATGAAGAACCACTGATGATCTAAAACTTCAAACTCCAAAATATAATTTGCCAAGTAACTCGGGAAGTTTGTCTTTAGAAAGGAAGCTTGATCCAGTTTTATTTTGTCCAGTTCATGTAAGAGACAAGTATCCTTTAACCGTGTACGTTGAAGTGTTGTTGGTCGTAACCTGTGATGTCAGATTCAGTGCAGAAAAGTAATTGGTGATCCGCATATTAGGATATATATATAAAGGCCTTCTGTATCTCACCTCTTAGAGATATTTTGATACGAATGAGGACATCAAAACTATATATACACTAGAACTCGTTCGCAAGCAAAGATCTATGGAGCTTACAAGAGGCATTTCATTTACTGATATTTCTATGCAACCATCCAGTTGTTCTGACAAAATGAGAATATGTCCTGCCCGTTGCCCGAAGATACTAATAATGCGAAAAAACAAATCCTTCAGTTCCAACAAATAAATACCAAAAGAACGCTGTACCAACTTACCTAGTAAAGATTCGGGTTTTTTAAGAATTTTTTCAAATGGTTAAAATGGTTGACGTTTGTTCTTCCTATACTCCGACGTGTGCGTTGGTCAACTGGGCGAAGATATCTTCCAGCCTTTCTTTTATTCCTTGTGAAAACTTTCAAATCGTAATCAAATCATGCAGCCCAATTTGCAGTTACCTTGGAGTTTTGAAATAGTTCAATGGTAGGTCTCTTATTACGATGCTGTCAATCTCCATTCTGATTGACACGTTCGAGAATTATGACAATAGCTCACACGATTTTAGACCTCATTGTTGATGCTAGCCATAGAACGATCCGCCCATGATTGAGGCGATTGAATACCACCGAGAAGCCCTAGATATCCATGGAAATGTATCCTGAAGGGGATTTATAATATAACTTCTTCATCGATTATCTAACGTTCTGTCACTTTTTGGATGAAGGTTGAATTCGGTCGGAAAAACATTTTGTTGCGCATACATTCTAGTGTAATTGCGAGTTTGGGGTTCTTTTGTCCTTGGCCATGTGGACCTTGTAATTTTTTTGTGGAAAAATTCCCATCTTTATCTGTTGATCTCCTCTCGCGCGATTTAACAAAGCGATACAAGAGCATTTTCAAGTGGTTTTGTTAGTTGGAAACTTGCGGTTGCGAACTAATCATCACCGATCGTCCATTTTTTTCTTTAGTCCTATTTCAAAACAAGACAAACACATGACAATCCCCACGTGAACAAGGTGGAGACAATCTCCAAAAAGGTTTCATGATTTTCCCCGACTCTTTTCAGTTTTTGGCGTGGAAATCTTCAATTTACTCGCAGAACACAGCGCATGCGCGAACCACGCGAACTACCACGAATGACCGATAATCAAGCATGTGGCATAACAAATTCAATAATCTCATTAATGTTTATATAAAATGGCTAAGAAAGAATCCCTTAGTGGGTCTAAGGAGCAAGCTTGAGAAATTTTAACGGCTGCAAGAATTCGCAGAGTTCCTAGAACGACGTGGCCACCCATGGTGTCGGAGTTAAATGAAGAAGATCCAGCCAAAGGGCATTGCCAGTCTATAATCGATAGATGCGTGTGATAACCCTCAAATTGGCTTTGGGTGATTGATTTTCTGTCACATGGTTTCAAAGGATTTGGGGTTTCTTAGGTGAAATCCATGGTTATAGTGAGAGAACGTGAAAACATGCACCATGAATGGACAAACAATGGAAATCCTGAAAATACAGTGCTCCAGTGTTTGAAATGAATTTTACCACCTGTATTTTGGTTTATATAACACCACAAATACACGAAGCAACTCTTTCATCACAAACACTTCAAGAGAATAACACGTCTTTTCTATGACTTTTAGTCCAGTTAAGTTTAATTCCAAGAAAAAACGGTAAGAAACTCGAGTAGAAAGTAGCAAGTTAGACAAATCTTTTTTCATTTTGCAAACTATTAAAGAAGAATTTCATGAGCTGTTGCTTTATTTTCAGTTACTTCTCATTCTTATACGATTGTGCTGTTTTAGTTTAGCGATCGCTTGCTAAACTCTGGGCCTATTCTCAATCGATAAGTGAAACCCTGTCTTAGTCAGTTTTTTTTACAAGGCTGTTCTGTCTCCAAGCACAACACGTGCAGGGCATGAAATCCCATTGTAATTTTTTTCAATCTAATCCTTTTTTAAAGCATTGTGCGCATCAAAGACAGTATATTCTATCAAACAACGTCTTCCATAAGAACTTTCTAAGGGAAATTCCCCTAATGGAAAGTTTTCCCGGGCAAGGCCCTTATTGGACTATCTCATATTACATTTATTAAGTCAGTGCAAATGCTTTCTTGCTTTCTTGCTCAACCCATTCTCTTTTAGCGTGGAAAGCGATGGATTCTAAGTTAAATTTAAAGCAAATGATTCTTTCTTCGGCTAATTAAAAACCCCAAAATGACACGACAATAAAATCAACTTATCAATTAGACATTGCTAAAAATTTGATGAAGAAATCCCATAGTATTTTACCAGACATATTGACATTGCCATTTGGTGTTAGAGTCTCAGGTTTGCAAAGAGCTTCATGTAGACGTTCAAATCAATAGAAAAAGAAAGTTCCGACGAGGAAACAATAGTCTGAATAAGTCTATCAGTTTATTTTTAAGACTTTTGACAAAGCATCGTATGACATATTTACAATTCAATTTTATTTTGGTGCAAATGGATTATTTCTTCAGCATCATCAGTTGATGATGATGATGTTAAGTTAGCGAAAGGCGTTAACATTAGTATAACTGAGTAGTTTAGAAGCAAATAAAACGCAGAAGACTTATTTTTCCTGCGATTAATCTTTAATATATTTGTCCATCGAATGTCTTTACATCGGCCCAATCTAACTACTATCCGACAACGGATAACAAATTTGACCCAGCTAGTCCTAGGACTGAGGCAGTCTCACAATTCAGTAAAAGATGGCTTTGCAAAAATTCATTTAAGGAGACCATAAATAAACGTAAAACAAAGCTTATTTCAAAAACAAGAGAGTAATATTTATTCAATTTGATTAAAAATAAGCTTTCAAATTTCGTTGGATTTTTACTTAGCAACCATATACACAATATACTATAATTCCAATATTTTCGTATTGAGATTCATAAAGTAGTTTTTATAAGAAAATACGACTGTACTTCCCCTTCACTATTACAGTCTTTAAATAGATTTGAGATATTACTATCTTCGTAGTTTCTTTTATTTTTCAATGTGAAAAAAAATGTTTTGACTTTCGATCCTGCTTTGCTTTCTCCATAGGTCTTATGTCATTTTACGCATCACGTGACTATAGCCGACACGTAAATATTTGGCCAATCGTCAATAACATCATTAGTCATATTATATAACGAAAGGCCGTTATTTATCGAGTTTTCTGCTCTCTATTCTAGCCTTATTCCAATCTATATTCACGTCACCTTAATATTTATTAAGTTTTCTCACTCATAACTGAAAATCACGCTACTTTTAGTTTAAGATCTATTCGGGGTACAAGACTCTTTTCCCCCTAGCGCTGTACACACACTCGGGATTTTTTCGAAGTTGATATTTAGTAAATCCTTAATCGTTTGTTTACCAGATTTATGCCTCCGTAATGTGTATCGTTTAAAATTGTATCTAGGAGTCCTGGGAAAATACCAATTAAGGTTGCTGAGCAAAAGCGGGAACAAAATGATCAAATACATCATGAGTTTTGGTTTAAAATTACAATTTGACATGTGTAACGACAGCTGGAAAATGTAGTGTCCTAGAAAATTGGCCTACAATTTTCCCGCTCTTTTCGCCCACGACGCGTGTGCCATTTTATGTAGCAGAAGTCTACGAATGGCGGGAAAAATTGTTTTCTACGCTGACAAGCAAACGAAACTCTCACAAGAGACTGGGGAGAGATAAGGATTTACTTTGATTTCTCATTTTGTTAATTTTTTCATCTTCCATCAATTTTTGGAGTTTCGTGCTCACTGTATAAGTGCACTGAGTGAAATAAAGAGCGATTATTGGATGAGGTCGAGCTAAATTTCATCAATTATCATCGTCAAAGTATCGTACATTTGTTTACGGTAGATTCATTCAGTTCTAGAACAATCTTCTCGCTCAAATCCCCGACAAGATCCCGGCACTGAGCAAGAACAACTTGCTTTGCTTTCTTGCTAATTGGAAGTGAACTAAAATACTTCGATAACTGATGGAGTTTTCTCAGATTTGATGCTTCTTCTGTCGTATGATTGAACGCGATTTCGTCAAAAATCCAGCAGTTTGGTGCCCCAGGAATAAGCGAATTTTCATGTGGAAAACTCTCATGAGCTCTTATCTTCCCAAATCCTAGACTCTTGCTGCAAATATAGCAGTAGTAGATCTTGCAGCTTGAACATCTTATGACGTTGCAGTCCCCCTCTTGCTTTGCCATACAAGTACCCGCGCGTGAATATTCACAATTCGGATTTTTGCATTTAAAAGTCGATGCTTCACTGAGAATCTCTGCCACCGCTTTGCGTTCATTCTTGCTGTTGTTATCTAGCGGACACACGTGATCAAGATGGCTGTACGGACCCAGAATATGTTCACATGTCAAACAAAATGCCGTCTTGCAAGCGGAGCAGTTTGCGAATAATTCCACAAAATCTTCATCCTCGGTCCAAAAGAAGGCGCAGTTTGGACATGAAACTTTTTTATCACTCCTGACTGCAGAATTCACGCTTAGTTTCTGGACGTCCTTCGATGTTACCCCTTGCGAGTTGTCCGGGAGTTGAACAAGAATGTCATTGACAGTATCTGGGTCGAAACTAGAGTGACATTCGTCGTACAATGGACACTGGTAATTGAATGAATCTGGCTCGTTTGTCTTTGATCGTAACCATAGTGATAAACATTGAAGGCAGAGATGATGGCAGTCATCGTTACAGGCCATAATCTTCAAAAATAAAAACGAACAAATAAAGGTATATAGCTTTGTATACAGTATATTTAACTCTTAATAGGGCGTCTTTGTGGGTACGCATTGCACCATGGGATACTGTACACGAAAAGTTGGCGCCATTTTCTTTCATGCATATCCCATAAGGCACTGCAGTAAGAGCTGTCATAACCTAAATGGTTTCAATAGCCGCCATCTTGTCAGTCGAATTCACTAAACAAACCGACTGATTTGTCTCAACATGACCGCCATGTTTTCTTATTTTATTCTACTGGAAATGCTTGCAAGTAACTTATATTAATTATCGAGAGATTTATAGACGGCAGTCATTCGTACAGCCAGAACACTAAGTGACCGTTAGTAAAAATACGACAGGTGATTATTGAAAATCTCGCGCGCTGATTGGTCGAGAAACTCACACTATCACACGATAATCACCTCCAGCGATAATCCAAAATGGCGGCCAGCCGCTTTGTTGCTGTTACCGGGAAAAAATGTCTTTTATCTTCTTTTTTTTCTTCTTTTTTTTTGAAAGAATCACCTGTGTATTTATACTTAAACAATTATTCGCCTCAGTGAATATCGAAGACTAGCGTCTCGGTAAATATTCCCCGATATTCACTTCGCCTTCGGCGAATAATGGTTAAATATTAGTTTCTTGAGAGTTTTTTGAATTTTGAAAATTAAATGAGAAAACTTAGTATTAGTTTACTCTAAACAAATGGCTGCCTCATACGAGCAAGAATTCCTTGACATTTCACCTTTTTCCAGACTGATTTTTTTAACCGATCAAACTCCTAAACAACTATAGATTTTTTTCTAACAATTCATTGGATTCATTATTGAAAACTTTAACGACAATACATAGTTTTATGACTTACTAGAAAATCTTTTTCCTGGCATGATAAACAATGTCGTTCTTTCTCGTCTGCCATGGCTTTCGTCAATCCTCTCCGACAAGTGATCAGTAAGAACTGCAATATAAACGCATAAATGATGCTTCTGGGAAAAGGGCCGTGTATTATGTCAACTTTGGCAGGTAAAGGTATTTACCCCTATGGATAAGTTTTTCCTCTCACATCGTTTAAAACTGCTGCCTAAGAACTGTGACAAAGGAGATTACCTCTGGAATATGATATTCTAACAGATGTTGCTACATGACGTCGTCGTAGGTAGGTTAGAAGAAAAGCAGCCCATAGGGCTGATGTTCCGTCTTTACTCTTTGATAAAACACTTGAAACATTTTTACATTTTATCTTTACGTCAATGATGCCCGTATTTAAGTCTTTGAGAAAAATCTTCAAATATTTTTTTACGTCAATGATAGAAGAAATTTCCCTTTTCCCAAATATGTCATAAGATAAACGGTTCCAAGTGCAACTAGGCAAGGCCGATGACATAACGGTGGTAATTTTAGCAATCTATTTTTAAATTAAAGGTTGATGTGAATCATGTTACATCGTTTACTAGCAAAAACCTAAACAATATTCGTCCATTATTATGTTCGTCCGAATTTAACTGATCGACATCCAATTTCGGGGAAAAATTTCGAGCTCCATGTGGGAAAATTCGATTTGGAAATTGTTAGACTTAATACGTCAACTATAGGTAGTTCTGTTTTTAGGCGCAAAGTGGAATGGTTCTGAATTTCAAAAAAAAAAAAAAGAACAAATTTTACATCTGATTTGACATGTTTTTACATACAACGAGAAACTCGACACCGAACAGTTCGCTGAATAGATGACTTATTTAACCAAAATTACCTGAACCTAAATATACAGTCATTGATACACGTATATGAGAAAGTGAAAAGACGTGAGTATACGTAGGATAATACGACCTTTGTCACAACAATATGACGTTTTCCGAAAATACCCCACAAATCAGCCCCTCCCTTATTGATGACTTTGGTAATAGGAACTTTAAGATTTGCAAAGTCAACGGACGGCGACGTCAACCGGAAGTGTAAATAACTTCTCTTTACGGTTTCTGTTCATTAGATATTTCCTTCAAAACATTGTCTGTAAAGTCAACTCATCCACAGGAAACACAGAAGAAGAAGACCCCAGACCCAAAAAGTGAAGTTATTAACACTTCCGGTTGACGTCGCCGTCGTAGATTTTGCAAATCTTAAAGTCCCTAATATTATGGAGGGATCCCCAATGGGAAGGTCACAATAGTTTTTATCTTAAAGGAACCCTTCTAGAAGGGAGAGATGACGTGTCGGGAGAGGTGGGGTTATTCGGCATTCACAACCTCTAGACGTAAAATCTTGGATTTTGTGGTCAAAATCAAATCGTAGAAACGATCGAATGTGCTGTCTGTATGTACGTGTGCCAAAACAACACGGATAAATATAAATGCAAATGTAAACTTTATTTAACCAGAGTGGCCCATTTAGCTACGAGACTGGTATCCAGAGAGACCCTGCTTAAAATACAACAATAGTAATATTACCATAATACTAAGTTAATCCTAAATAGATGTACTAGGCTAATCCTAAATTATATCAGTAAAAATCATAATATGACATTTGAATAAATGTAGTTAGGTATATAATGGGCAGAAAATAACGAGGTTCATCGTTAGTGGTAATAGTCTATTAAGCTAATCCTATATAGTCCGCGATATAGTCACATACACTCAGTAGAGTGCAAACAATATATCCGTGAACACTAATTACTATTGTTCAAAATAGTGCTAGTTAAGGTGACTGCCTACTTTTGAACGTTCGATTTGAACCCACGATGTGCGCGTACTTAAAAACCGCTGAAAAATCTACGAGATTTTATTGAAGAACCAAACGCGTTTTGAGCTTCAACAGGGCAAAACCCTCAAATTTTATAAGGAACTCTATTTCTTAATAGCCGAGATTATTTGAAAAAAACTCCTAAAAATCTAGGTTATATTAACATTTTAGAAAAAGTTTATATATCTAACACAGGAAAAAATAGATTTTTGGAGGGGTTTTTGTTCGGCTTTATGAGATTTTTTAAGAGCACCGAAACTACAAAATATGACAATGTATCTCTACTCTTTGTCTTTTTGTCGAAAATATCCATGTATTATTGTAGAATGATTAACTAGCCGTCATTCATGCAACCATATAATCTGCAAATAACTATTATCTTATGAATCTTCTTTTTTTTCCTAATCACTTCCGGTGGCGCACGTTTTGCTCCAAAAGCCCGCGCGTAGGCTTCCATTAAATGCTGATTATCTCGAAAACAAGCTCTGGACACCCAATTTTTCTTTCCAGATTTGGAATCAGCATTAMATTTCAATTCGGAAAATCGAAGTTTAAAAAAAAGTTTAAATCGTTTTCCAAAAGTACGCAGTCACCTTAAACAAAAGAAACAATAGAATTATCATAAAATAGTGTAAGTTAGTATTACTAATATTTCACGGATGTATTGTTTGTACTATATCGAGCAAGGCTCAACCGTATCTGCGATGCGAAGGAGGTGTTCTTATCGATACCCAAAAGCCTAAATCAATCAAATTGCATCCGGGCTTACTGATTTTGGACTTTCTTTTGTGTGTGTTGACCCTATATTCACTGTATATTTGCAAAGGCCAAACTGTGCTATAGGTAAATATCTATTTGCATATTGATATTTTTTAATTTTTTTTTTTTGGAATTATTCTCGTATTATTACACGCGGGTTGTCGGCGAAACTGAACCCGAAACATGGCGGAAACTCCTACTATTTACGTGCAGCGTATCTAGGCAACTTAGAACTAAAATATTCTGTTACTGTTCAGCAACATTCCATGCAACTGAACTATGAAAACTTTTACACAAGAAAAAATCCCAAAGTTTATTATAAATATTGCGCCTGATAAAATATGAACTGAGATAAGGAAAAGCTATTTTTAGACCAGGTTTTGAAATCACTGTTACGTGTGTGCTTTTTTTTCGTTAATATTTTTAGTTTCAATAATATAATGCTTGACTTAACATAGATTTTTGATAGATACTTGCCGCAATTTCACGACAAAAAGACTTCTTTAGCTTGGACGTACTGTTTTCCCATATCAGAACACGTGTCGTTTTCTAGAGAACCCTTTCGGTTGCGTACGTGGAGACGCATGAGGGTGGATAAAACTGAAAATGAAGAATTTTATCTTTAAGAGGATGACACGTGGTCGGAAATGGTAAAACATACGCCCAAGGTAAAGAGGTTCCTGCGTCCTTCCCTTTTTGGGGTTCCTGTGGATTACCCAGAATTCCACCAGAAGGTAACATCCAAGATGGCGACTCCAATGGAAGTTCAAACCAAAAAAGATGAAGTTGACGTCGAAGAAAAAGATAAAGTTGTGGCAAGTTCTGGAGCAGCTGGGAGTATATCTGTAGCTCTTCATCCCTTAGCAATAATGAATATATCGGAGCATTATACTCGAATTCGCGCCCAAGAAGGAAAGCTAAATCCTCAAGGTATAAAAACTTATCGAAATTTGACGAAAAAGTGGTATTTTTTTCTTCCCTTGTTCATTTTAAATGTAATCGTATTTGGCTTTATTACTGAATGAGAAATTAATCCTTATGTAATGAAAAAGAAGATAGTTGTTCGTTAATGCTGTAACTGCTTCACAAGTAGCAAATTTATCCCACAGAAAGACCACTAATTGTTATACCAGTGAAAAATCATTAAGCTAAAATAGCTCGAAATTGTGCATAATACTGTATGTTTTATCGTTTAAAAAGTACTACAGAGCAATTATTTATAGTTATTGCTGTTCATATGCTCATCGATTGCTCATTAAGAAGTTTGGTAATTTTTGTCCAAATTCAATGTGAACCTTTGTAGCACAGTAGCGCAGTCATAAAAGATAATCTAAGAAAATAACAAATATCACTAATGTACCGGTATTTTACATTTTCTTGTAGTGGTAGGAGCCCTGTTGGGTACCCAAGAAGGTCGAAATGTTGAGATTTTCAACTCATTTGAGCTTCAGTTTGATGTGTTTGATGATGGACATATTATCATAAACATGGAGTACTACAAAACGAAAGAAGAACAGTGTGAGTCTACTTAATATCCTTGTTTCGAGGGTAGATTTTACAAGTACCACTGTTTATTCCTTCGCATTGATTGAGACTGGTCACAACAGGGAAATCAGTATGTAAAGGAGTATGTACATGGTACCTACACTAACTTTTTTTTTTCGATTGATGGTAGTCTGTTTCCCAAGTTCCCTGTTGCTACTGTTGTTTCGATCACCATGTAGCAATGAAAACAGTGGTAATACCCTGTGAGCCGTGTTCCAATATCAAATTAGAACCTAGGATTGATATTTGCTTAGGGAGAAAAACAGGGAGAAAATCCTTAAATCAGAAAGAACCAACAAGTAACTTTATTCACATAAAATGGACGGACAGAGGATTAAACCCATGACAATAGCAGTGAAAAGTTGCACATTAACACTGCACATCACTCTTACTTCCTCCCTCTTTTTCTTCAAAACCAAACAGGGTTTTTATAGAGGCTGGGAAACTTTAGGAAAACCAGTACACTGTATTCAAATTAAGAAAATTTCTCAAAAAGAATGAACAAAATAATAAGGGAAAAGTATAGTATAAGTTGTGTTTTTGTAAGATTTTTACAGTAATGATTGAAAGATTTTACATTTTTTCCATACAATACAGTTCGTCAAGTCTTTAAGAATCTTGATTTTCTTGGATGGTATTCTACTGGAGTCGCAGCGCAAGAAAGTGACATTGGTATTCATAGACAGGTGAACAGTGAATAGTTACAAATAATATATACTCTTATGACCTAAAAGCTTTCACAATTATAAACCCACCCAGCTGTGGTACCTCACATTTGTAGTGTTAATGAAACACAAAAGATTTTAGCGTTGTACGACAGCCTTTCTTCAAGAAAATAGTTTTTGCAATCACTGCTTGAATATGAAAAGAATTCTCTCCTAAATGTTAAAGCTCTATAAACCATCATATAAATGTTAAAACTCTATAACTGAAAGTAATTACTTGTTTCCTAATTGATCTTTAGTTGTGTGAAATCAATGAGAGTCCATTGTTTCTGAAGCTAAACCCCTTGGCCAAGACCAATGATGTGAGTACTTTTAATATTTTTTAAAAAATGATTCTAGCTTTCATTCTTCATTCACTAATTTGTTTGTTTTATACTATAGCTTCCAATAACAATGTATGAATCAGTAATAGACTTGATTGATGGAGAGGTAAGAAAACTACAAAAAATGATTACCAATTAAGAAAATTTTTTAAAAAAGAAACAGTCATCTAATTCACTATTTTTCAATTCAAATGACGTCATTCCAGTCCCATAGGCTGGCAGATGCTAGGGTGCTGACTCACCCCCCCCCCCCTCCCCAATCATCTCCTAAAATACTTCGACAAGTAGCAAAAAACTTTACGGTTCAATTTTTTTAAAACACTAATTTGTTTGCATCAATGAGTGTGAAAAGAGATATTGAGGTTAGCCCTATTGTGAATATCTCCTAGGATTGAATTTGAATTAAGTAGTCAATTTTTGTGGAGGGAGGAAAACCAGAGCCATTAGACCCCAGTGGATTAGATTATGAACTGTAGTTAACAACACATATTGTCACATGTATAGTAGTTTGAGAAATTGACTGATGTATTTACGCTTCTCTTACAGACAAGAATGTTATTTGTAGAAGTACCGTATACACTTGCAACTGAAGAAGCTGAAAGAATAGGTGTAGATCATGTCGCTCGGCTGTCCTCATCAGGCACAGTTGATGGTGCAACAGGTATGTGTATTATTGGCTTATTATTATGCTATATAAATTATTAGTATAAATACACAGGGATTATTGAAAATCTCACGCACTGATTGGTCGAGAAACTCAGATTATCATATGATTATCACCTCCAGCGATAATCGAAAATTGCGTCCAGCTGCTTTGTTGCTGTTACCTAATTTTAAATGTGTCCTTTATCTTCTTTTTTTCTTCTTTTGAAGGAATGACCTGCGTATTTATACTAAAACAATTATTCACCTCAGGCGAAGTGAATATCGGGAATAATAACCTCAACTTCGTTTTGGTTATTATTCCCCGATATTCACTTCGCCTTCGGCAAATATTCGTTAAATAGAATTATTATCATCATGTTCATCATCATCATCATTATTATTATATATTCAAAGTGTTATTGTTATTGCTTTCAAGCTGATTTTTGCAACATTTGTTCTAGTGTCAGAGCACCTTTTAGCGCAGTACAACGCCATCAAGATGTTACACTCAAGGGTCAAAATGATACTGGAATATGTTAAAGCTGTACATAAAGGTACTTCATTATTCATCCATCCATCCACTTTCCTATCCATACATCATTTCACCTATCCATTCATTTATCCACCCATGCATCCATGCATCCACCCACCCATCCACTCCTCCATTCATCCATCCATCCATCCATCCACCCACCCATCCATCCATCCATCCATCCATCCATCCATCCA